CTCAACCTACAGCTGTCCATTTCAGCTGTCTAGAAGAAAGCTCACTCACATGTGCAGCAAGGTAGGGGCAGAGGTGGAGGTGGGTGTGTACCTTCATTTTATGGCCTTTTGCTTAGGTCATTAGCATGCACCATTTCCTCACCTTGAACAGTAATTAACTTTTGACTTGTTTTCCAATAAAATTAAATATATTCATTTTCAGATGCCAGCTTATGCTAAACAATGCCACTTTATGTTTCCCAATACATATGAACATTTAAGCAATACTGGGTCTGATTCTGACTTCACTTAAACTGGTATAAAACAGATGTACTGTAATGTCCAAGTCACCTGAGTTATGTGGGTACAAACAAGATCAGAGGCAGACTCAGTATCTTTAAGTACCTACACCTCCACTGTCATACAGAGTTTTTTGTTTAACTTGCTAACAATCCAAACAGAAGGAATGTTTTGGGAAAGTTCCTATGTGGTCAGGGCTGCAAAGTCACACAGCAAAAATAAGATTAATTCAGATAAGAGACACCGGATACATTTTGGTGTCAGACAGACTCATATAACAATATTAAATGAAAAAACCTTACCCTTAAGGTTCAATTAAAACTGAACTCTCAAATCCTCAAAAGAAATTCCACACATTGATCTTTTAACAACAAGTCAGGGAAGCAAATTCATTATGGTATGTGAACTATCCATGCGGCCACAAAGGGAGAGTGCCTAAATAGAGTATGGAGGAACTTCTACACCAGTGTCCAGTCAGGGATCTGTGAGTTTGTTCTGCAGCTTCCTGTGGATCTCTGGTCCACATCTACACAGACAATGCAAACACTGCTCTCTGCATTTTTTGTGCTATGTCAAGCTTCTCGGAGAGGAGCTGACATAGCACACATAGGACCCAGGTCATGGATTTCTGAAGGAAAGTTTTCCTTCTTCTCTATGGAAGCTTTTTCATCAAAGGGATTTAGCCTCACATGAAATAATTTTCTACTGGAAGATTATGTTATCTTTTGTTAGATTTGAAGTTACTCCCATTTGATGCACAATCTGATTATACAAGCAAGTCAGTAAAAGCAAGCATTTGCACAATAACTGCTCTGTTACAACCATCAGCTGTTCAAACCAGAAAGCACAATACATATTTTACTGGTATGGGTGTGGTTAAATGTATGCTAGCAAGATTAAATATACAGACAAGATTTTTTAATATCAGAGCATAAATTAAGGCTCCTGGATCTAAATAAATGGCCTAATAAGAGGCCTAATTTTTAGAGGTATGAGCACCCAAGAATTCCTATTAAACTCTGGCCTGATTTTCAATGTGAGTGCTCAGCACTTCTGAAGAGCAAGAACCTTTACCTTAAGGTGCCGATTTCTGAACACAGAATCCTAGAAATGTAGGGCTGGAAGGGGCCTCAAGAAGTCATCAAGTCCAGCCCCCTGCGCTGAGGCAGAACTAAGTAAACCTAGACCATCCCTGACAGGGGTTTGTCCAACTTGGTCTTTAAAATCTCCAATCATGGGCATTGAGCCTATTCCAGAGTGTGACGGGACACACCCTCATTCTGGTACAGAGGAGACTAAACAAACTCTTCCTGGCCTCTTTAGCACTAACAAGGCACACTTGCAAGGTTTGTTCAGCCTGGAAGGGGAAGAGCTTAAAAGAAGAAAACTTACAGCAGGAAGGGACAGTGAATAGGAAGAAGGCTGCTCTGTCTTACTGCTGGTAAGAGAGGTGGTCCAGCCAAGGAGGGGACAGCCATAGGATGTACTGCTTACAAAGCTGGCCTGACTGGCAGCAAAGCAGTATGCCCCAGGAGGAGAGGCAAAAGGTAAACCCCACAAAGGGGCAATCGACTCTGACAGATGAGGCCCATAGGGTTAAATCCCAAGAGACTGCCTGAGAGACCGGCCATCTTTTCAGCCAGATCCTCTTCTCTTGCAAGGAGAGGAGAGGAGGATGAGACAATCCTTTGCCTGTGTCTGTTTCCCTCAGAGAGCTCCCCCAACTGCTGCCAACTGGGGGAAGAGAGAGTAAATGAGAGAGTGGGACCTGGTAGGGGGAGGTGGGATTCAGGGAGCCCCTGCGCCCCACACAGACCTTAGCAACCCTTACAGTTAGAAAGTTTTTCTTAATAACTAACCTAACTCTTCCTTGCTGCAGATTAAGCCCATTACTTCTTGTCCTAGCTTAATGGACATGGAGAACAATTGATCACAATCCTCTTTACAACAGCCCTTCACATGTTGAAGGCTTATCAGGTCCCCCCTCAGTCTTTTCTCACTAATTAAACCATGCCCAATTTTTTAACCCTTCCTCACAGGTCAGCTTTTCTAAATCTTTTTATCATTGCACACATACAAAATGGGAAATGACTGCCTACGAAGGAGGACTGCGGAAAGGGATCTGGGGGTCATAGTGGATCACAAGCTAAATACAGGTCAATGTAACGCTGTTGCAAAAAAAGCAAACATCATTCTGGGATGTCTTAGCAAGAGTATTGTAAGCAACACACAGGAAGCAATTCTTCCTCTACTCCGCGCTGATTAGGCCTCAACTGGAGTATTGTGTCCAGTTCTGGGCGCCACATTTCAGGAAAGATGTGGACATACTGCATACTGAAACAGGTCTCGGCCAAGCTAATTCTCATTGCTCCAGTGTGGCACCAGTCTCTGCTGAGAGATGGTTGTGGCACAACGCCCACATCAATGGATTAATAATTTCCATGGAATAGATATATTCCACCTGATCTGTGTATATGCATGTGTTAGAAAATTGAGTGGGATTTCAGTTTTAAATATATAGATGCTTTGTGGCATATGGTGTTACATAGGGCTCAAATAATAAAGGTGCAGATGGAAGAGAAGACAGGATTCTGAAGAAGGCTAGAGCCTCTTCCAAATGATAGATTATGATGCATAAGTAAGAACAAAAAGGTTGCTGTCTCATTTCTTGCACATATTGTGCAGTCCCCAATGTTCTACTAGAATACAGCAAATATTTTCATTAATGATCTGGAGGATGGCGTGGACTGCACCCTCAGCAAGTTTGCAGATGACACTAAACTGGGAGGTGTGGTAGATATGCTGGAGGGTAGGGATAGGATACAGAGGGACCTAAACAAATTAGAGGATTGGGCCAAAAGAAATCTGATGAGGTTCAACAAAGACAAGTGCAGAGTCCTGCACTTAGGATGGAAGAATCCCATGCACTGCTACAGAGTACGGACCGAATGTCTAGGCAGAAGTTCTGCAGAAAAGGACCTAGGGGTTACAGTGGACAAGAAGCTGGATATGAATCAATAGTGCGCTCTTGTTGCCAAGAAGGCTAATGGCATTTTGGGCTGTATAAGTAGAGGCATTGCCAGCAGATCGAGGGATGTGATCGTTCCCCTCTATTCAACACTTGTGAGGCCTCATCTGGAGTACTGTGTCCAGTTTTGGGCCCCACACTGCAAGAAGGATGTGAAAAAATCGGAAAGCGTCCACTGGAGGGCAACAAAAATGATTAGGGGACAGGAGCACATGACTTATGAGGAGAGACTGAGGGAACTGGGATTGTTTAGTCTGCGGAAAAGAAGAATGAGGGGGGATTTGACAGGTGCTTTCAACTACCGGAAAGGGGGTTCCAAAGAGGATGGATCTAGACTGTTCTCAGTGGTAGCAGATGAAAGAACAAGGAGTAATGGTCTCAAGTTGCAGTGGGGGAGGTTTAGGTTGGATATTAGGAAAAACCTTTTCAATAGCAGGGTGGTGAAGCACTGGAATGCATTACCTAGGGAGGTGGTGGAATCTCCTTCCTTTGAGGTTTTTAAGGTCAGGCTTGACAAAGCCCTGGCTGGGATGATTTAGTTGGGGATTGGTCCTGCTTCGAGCAGGGGGTTGGACTAGATGACCTCCTGAGGTACCTTCCAACCCTGATATTCTATGATGGAATTCATTTCCATCAGTTCCTTCTTCCTTTTTTTGAAAAAAGCTAGGAAGTTCTATACAAAACAGCTGCATTAAATGAATATTAAGGCTACAAAGTAAAGCAATCAAATGTTAGGAAATGCCAAAATTAGGGCTGTCTATTATTAGGGCTAGATTTTGTACTGCACCTCTCAGGAGCATCCCTGGAGGAGGAGCTCTAAAGCTACCTTGGTGCCTCCTCAATTCTGCCTGCTCCAGGAGCTGGTGCCGACATTAAGACTGCTCTTACAACAGCCTCCCCATAGCTCCCAATGAAGTGTTTCTTGGTTCAAAACAGCTGTAGTGATGAACATAACAGCCACCCCCTCACCAGGGTGTTGCAAGGGCTGTCAGAGTGGTGTACAGGTGTCACAAGGGGGCTATGATCTGGCCTTCAATCTTTACTTATGTGATCACTTCTTATTTTTTCCTCTCACAGAACCCATGACTTATTCACTGTGCACGATGGACTGATCAGTGAAGGAGGCAGATTTTTTTTTCTTCATTGTTTAATGTATGGTCCTGTGCCTCATACACTGCACAACATCAAAACTCAGCTCAGAGAGGAATTTTTCCTTCATTCATGGACTTTCCTATGATGCCACGCACAGGCACATCTGATCACCTAATGTTACTGAATTTACTTTCAGAATAACCCTGTGAGCACTCCATTTTACAGATGGGGGAACTGAGGAACAGAGTGATCAAATAATTTACCCAAAGTCACACCAAAGTGAGAACCAGTTCAGTGTCTTAAAGACAAGAGCATCCTTTCCCCTCCCTGAGGATGCCTGTCTTACTTCCTGACTACATCAGCTTCATAACAAACTCTACGTCTTCGGTGAATGATCCAAAGTTGCTCTAGGCTCAGGCCTGCCCAATGTGCATACTGAATTAGGCAGAAGTCCTGTGGAAAAAATATTATAGGACCACATTATTTAAGATTCTATCATAAATGCAACACATACATGCAGAGTACGGAATTATAGCTAATATGGAAAAGGAGCCATACAAAAATCAAGCAGACTGAACAGGTACAGAAGCAATCCACTTACTATCTTTTTGCTCTCTTCCCTGTGGCCCAGTTCTCGAATTCTCTCCATGATGGCCTCCTCAGAGGATTTAACTGTTACAGAACTGTTGCTGAGAAGGGTAGCAACTTGCTCTTTAAAAGCACTCAGCAGGCTCTGAGCAGTCCTGGCCTCCTCAATGCTGCTTTTCAGACTCCCATCCATCTCATTGGAACATCTCTTCAGGTGGTGCAGTTCCTGCTTTGAGGCTTCCCAAGCCCTCTGGCTAGCAGCAAGCCTATCTTGGAGGCTTCTGATCTCCTTCTCTAGACTCTGTTTGGCTGTTAAAGCACTGTCCAGATCCTAAAATACAAAAAACATAAAACAAGGCTTAATACAGGTCAAAAATAAGGAATGGGGACTAAATGGCTAATTTTCAGCATGGAGAGGTGACTAGCAGAGAGGTGCAGGAACGAATAGCATTAGGACCAAAGTTGTTCATTATGGGCCCAATCTTGCAAGTCCTTCACAGACAGAATCCCTATTGAGGTAAACAGGACTCCCACATGCATTTAGTATCAATTATCTTCAAGGTATAGTGAATGGGGAAGTAAGATCTGAAGATGACACAAAATTACTTAGATCTACAAATACATTGCTAGATTGTGATGACTTTCATTAAGAAAAAACAGTGACTGGGAAACTCAGTGGTGGATGAAATTTAACATAGACAAGTGCTGGTAATGCACACTAGAAGAAATGGTGTAAAAATTTAAAAACTACTTGCATATACTGATGGGGTCTAAATTAGTGACACAGGAAAAGATCAAGGCAACATCTCAGCACACTCCATGAAGACATCTGAATAATAGACCCACGGGGGTTTAAAAAAAGTGACAAATGTACCAGGATTATTTCCACACAAAACAGGGGAGTGCCTAAATGAGAAAAAGTTATAATAGTATATAAGGAAAGTGCAAATATTCAAATGCTGATTGGCTGCCTCATCTCAAAGAAAGCATAGATGAGAGAGGGAGGTGGAGAGATGAAGACTAAATCACATTAGAAGCATGATGGGGAGACTTTCAAAGAAGGAGAAATTTAAAAACTGGGACTATGTAGGGCCACATCATGCCCTGGTGAAAGTAGCAAAATTCCTACTACTATGGGGCCAAAGTTGTCAAAAGGAGGTGAGGAATGTCAATATCAAACTAGCCACCTGTCCCCTTGAGCCTACAGCTGCCCCAGTGTGTGAATATTGCTCAGTCTGGGAAAGGACACAGCACCTGTGATCAAGTTCTGGCCTTGACCACCTTTATCAAAAATGGTTTTCAACAAAATCTAAAGACAGGAGCCATCTTCTTGGATTTGACCGCCGCCTATGACACAATTTGCACAGAGACCTTTTGTTTAAACTCTCTCAAGTTGCCTGCACTGGATGTTCGAAGTAATAGAGCTCCCTTTCTCCGACACAGGAAGTGTCAAATCAATGACCTCCCTCTAGGCTCAGTTCTTTCACCAGTACTGTTCAATGTGTACATCAATGACCTGCCAGCTATGCTCTCGCGCAAGTTCATCTATGCCGACATCATCTGCTGTAGCCACCAACCTATCCTTCTCAGAAATTGAGAAGGTCTTGAATGAAGATGTGAAGCTCATGGCAGAGTATTGTAGTCAATGGCACCCACTGCCGAGCTTTTCTAAGACTGTTTCTAGTGTATTCCATTTGAATAATGCAAATGCAAGCCACGAGTTATACATTTTCCTCAGTGGCCAATGCCTGCAGCATGATCCAAAATCAGTGTGACATTGGATAGATCATTAACATGCCACAACCATTGAGGAAGATGGCAGACAAAGTCAACAGTCAGAACAACCTGCTCAGAAAATTGGCTGGTTCGACCTGGAATGCAAGCGCCCAGAAGCGCAGATCATCAGCCCTTTCCCTCTGCTATTCAACAGCAGATTACTGTGCTCCTGTCTGGTGTCACTCATTTCACACAAGGTTGATCGATGTAGAGCTTAACAAAGCTATGCATACTGTTAGCAGGATTCTGTTGCCATGACTACCGATACTTAACATAGCACCACCCCATATTTGCCATGAAAAGGTCTCTGTCACGCTGCTGGCTAAGATCCATGTGAATAGCGATCTGCCATTGTACTCAGACCTCTTCAACCACCCACCAGCTCACCTGTCTTCTAGATGCCTGCAATGGGGTCAGCACCCACCTTTCATGAGCACCCACCATAGTCAACAGTTTCTTCTGCAAGTCTTCAGTCATTCAACCCTCCAGCCGAATCTCACATACTGTCTGTAGGTAGACCAGAACAAACCCCCTCTGATATACACAGTCTTTACCTTCTCCCAGGCCTGGCATGGGGCCATACCTCCAGGGCTTCCTCCCTTAAGACACTGTCTTCCTGAAGCCCTCCCTGGGCTGAGTTCTTGCTCAGTCCCCTCAGCCAGCCAGGAGCTCTTTCTTAGCTCCCCAGGTCCCTGGCTACACTGAGATTTCCATGGTCCCGCTGCTCTTTCAGCCAGCCAGGAACACAGTCCTCTCTCTTCCAGCTCCAGGCAGCAACTGACCAACAACTGTCTCTGCTGCTCCTTTTTATATGGCCCTCCTGGCCCCTGATTGGCTGGTCCTGCAGTCCCTCTGATTGGCCGCTTCCCCTGCAGACACTCTAGGCCACTTGAAGGACTTCTCTTCTGTTCCTCTCTGGGACGGGGTGTGGAAGGATTCTGAGGCCTCCAACTGGGGTCCTGTAGGCCTAGTCCAGCCCGTCACAATGCTCTTTATGCTCATTTATGCCACCACAGGACAGGACAGTGGAATCTGCTTGGCGCAATGAGTGGTCAATGATGACAGTCATTAATAACTCTCTCATCAGTTTTGATCTGCCAAGGTGCCTGTGTTCATCTCTGACCTGGTTTCGAACAGGACAGGGCACTGTGCGGCCAATCTCTTTAAATGTGTTTTTTCCAGCGATGCAGTTATGTTCAACTTCAGACTATGTCACATATTGCCGAGTGCCCACTGACTTATTTCGACAACAGGCTACCGGCTCTCCACCTGGCTGATAAGGACACCATTACATGGCTGGGCGTACTGCACATATGCCGATGAGTCTGGACTCTGCAAGTTTAGGGGACATGGCAGGGTAGGTGAGGCAGGACAGCAGCCCTATCTTGCATCCCTATAGAAACATCTTTAGAAATTCCTGAGGAAGTTAATTCTTGAATAGTCCTTCTATGTCCCTTAAAGGGAGGGTACACAGCAGGAATACACAGAAAATGATAGCAAAGGTCCCAAAGGGGCTATGTTGCCATGAGATACTGGAACTTGGCGAATAATGCATAGGGGCTGCTACTCTGTGAATACCCCAAGACCCTGGGAATATTCTCATGCATCTCATTGGATCTCACTGTTGTAGAGCCATGACCCTTGCCTCCTCTTGTGTAAACTCACAGTACTTGCCAAGTAAATTTCCTCTTCTCTGTGATGATCCAGTCATCAGTTTGAGAAAGAGATAGAGGCAGTAGATATGTCAGGGGTATATAAAATAATGAATGGAAAGTGCTGCATATCCTGTGCTGTGAAATAAAAACAAGAAGCCATTCAATGGAAGAGAAAATATTTTAAAACAGACAAAACCAAAAACATGGTTCTGCTTCATTTAATCAGCCTGTGAAACTCTTTGCCCCAGGATACTAATGAGACAAACAGTTTAATAAGATTTTTAAACGGATTAGAGATTTATGTGAATAAGAATAAACTCTGCAGTCAAACTAGCTGGGATTACAATGTAGCAAGGAATTTAATCCTTCACACTTCAGGGCACTGTTTGATTAACAACTAAGAATGGGAAGGAATTTTCCTTCCCACAAGGTACAACTTTATACGACCAGGTTGGTACATTTACGGGGTGTCATTTGCCTTCTCCAGAAGCATCAGGTTTCAAATGCTGTGGGAGGCAGGATACCAGACTTAATTGATCAGATTTGTTGCAATGTGATAATCCCTGTGTTAAACACATTTCAGAATAAACAAAGAAACAAAACCATATTAATTAGGTTAAATACTGTCATTACTCGTTACTAAACTGATTTTAGAACTAACTGCCAACCAAATCTTGGCATGGTTCCATTTTATTTCCCTCTTCAACTCTAAAGAGGTCCTCTTAACAGAGAAATTATGCCAATGCCAAGAATCAAATTATGGCTATTATAGCAAAGAATGAAGGGAGGTCTATTCCAATTATATTACTTCATCAGTCTGTAGATTTCCTTTCACAGGTGCAGCACAATAGCAGCTAGTCAACATAAGGTTGAGCAATAACCAGTTATGATCTCAGTTTATTTTTTTAAAATTTGCAAACAAATAAAATTGCTTCAAAAGGCCATGGTACTGAAATGACAAATTGGATAAAATAATTCAAAAGGAACACAATTATTGTGCCTCTTTCTCATTTTAAGTGTCATGGGTTATAGCAAACCATTTTTTTTAAAAAAAAAACTTTCTTTTTAAGAATCATATTTACAAGTCAGCTGATGCATAAATCTTAAAAAATAAACAAATGCAAGTTGAAAAGTTTAGTAAAATTCTATGTTAAAATTAAATGCTGAGCAGCTTCATAGATATAGTTTATCAGGTCAATATATGTATTTAACACATTTTTAATTATAATTTTTAGGATGGTCTTGCCAATCATAGCAAATGTTGGAACTGCAGAAAAGAAAATGCCAATATCTCAGATATTCTGTGTATTCATAAAACATTGTGCATATTACAAGCATATTACAGTGGGATCCAAAGCCCACTGAATTCAATGAAAAACTCCAACTGACTTCAGTGGATTTTGAATCATGGATTGTGGAGTCATGCTGCTAGCCAGGATTTCTCGGTGTGCAAGTCAAATGACTATTTATGAAGTATGAGTTTATTATACCATACAAATAATCTGGTGTCTGACAGACAAGATACTTCACTACCAGTTCTGTAAATGGAATCTTTAGGACAACATTTTGCTAAATACTATTCAATGAATTTCTCTCTATTTCTGAAGAATAAATTTTACAGCAGTTTTTTAAAAAAAATCTGGCTCCAATTGCATCTCCAGCTACTCCTGATTCTCTATGGAAGAATACTTGTAAAACACCCTCAAGCTTACTTCAAGGAATAAAATATGGATTTCTTAGCATACATTTCAACTCATCTATCAGTCTCCTACCTCAGAGTAAAATCAATAGTTCTGTACCTTCATGCTGACTTACACAATTTCCGCCCACCTACCACTTTGAGAAGGCTATAACCAGGGATACAGTTGTTGAACGAGAGTGAAAACATCACTCTATCGGCATATAGGAAACATCAACACTAAAGCAGAGCTCTCTAACAAAAGCATTTTAATCTCCTAATATTCTTGAGACTTCATGAACTTGAAGGTGATAACAGAAAAATACTTTTTTAAAAACTAAGCATAAAAAAAAAATCTCCAACCAACACCCTAGCCTGATAAGAGTTTTCCAAACTAACTTTTGTTGGTAATAGCATGTGTTGAAATCTTACCATCATTTACTTTCATTTCACACCATTTCTTCCACTGAAAAATGCATTTTTCATTCCTAGAAATAGATCTCTAAACCACACAGACATGCACACTAGAAAATAATTTACCTTGCTAAGCTTGTCCATGTCTTGGGAGTAGACTATGGCCCTTTTCTGCTCTTTGCTGACTTCTGAAACAAGCCTCATGATGGTTTCTCTGCTAGCTTTTGACTCTATCTCATGAACATTGATAGCCTCTGCAAGAGTGGGAATCTGCCCTTTTAGCATTGTATTTTCTTTATGCATCTGATTGACCTAGAAAAACATACAATTCAAATAGTACATATTAGTAAAATTCTTACACTGTTTCCTGTTAACAATTGTCTTCACTCATTTAAATGCATTTTCTGTTCCCCATCATCATAAAAAATGTTGTTTGTAAAACCTTCAGGGTCAGATCTATGACTAAGTTCTGCTATTCATTTCCAATGTTTCCTTATAAACAAAGTAGAAAAAGAAGAGAAACTGGAGCCATAATATGCCATGAGAAAAGTATGCCTTAGCATAGCAAATGTTAATTTAGTTTAGTTATCCCCATACAAATTCTCAGCACTAGATCAAACATTATCATCTGGAGGGCTGTTGTCATTTCTGCATGTCCACAATGGTGATAAGGCAGGGCAGAAAATAAAAATAGATTATACAACTATCTTCATGTGGGAAGCAGGCAGCTTTTCCATAAGATTTATGGCTAGCAAGCCTTTGGAATGGGAAACCAGCACAGGACATTGAGAAGTGATTTTACATTTGAAATATTCTGAGTCATAGGGAGCCATGTGATTTGGCAACAGACTCCTCTTGACCTTATGAGAGGGAAAGGCTATCTCCTAAAAAAAGAATTTGGGGAGCTCTTTTGAGCAGCAGCCAGAATTCAGGGGAAGACAAGCCCCAAGCATGATCTTGATCTGTTGAGGTAATGCTGCAGCAACTCCAAGGAGTGTAAAGCTCCACAGGTCTAGAACCCAAGCCTGCAAAACTACCAGGTTACAGTAGCAGCTATAACCAACTTGAACTCCATTTCCCATGACCCACTGTGGACACAGACCATGGGAAGTTCCACCTCAAGAGTCTGACAGACAGCAGCCCCATAGCTCCTGATTGGTTCACTGCCTTATATAAGCCCAAGGAGCATTCCAGGAAGCATCCAGGCAACTGGCTCCTCTGCAGCTGACATGACCTTTCCTGCTCGATCTCAGCTTGATTTGAACTTTGTCACCTGACTTGAACCTCAAAACCTGACTTAGACTCTGACCCTTGCTATGGACACTGGCCTGGACCAGACTACAAACTCCTCTGCTACTCCCAGCCTCGGGTTTGCCACTGCTCTGTCCCTTGGCCCTGACTACCCTTGTTGGGATCCTACAAATCTGGGGTGAGGAATATCTCATGACGCTTCAAAATGAGCAGAAAAATACAGGATTATATGTCCCCTTGAATCCTACTTGAATGATGACTAAAGGTGAAGGTGCTCCTATTCTGTCTTTAACTCTAGTCATTGCTGAGAGAAAAGAGACATAGATAAGGGAGGGGAGCGGGGGAAATCCAGAACAAATACTCTGTTCTAATAAACATTGTTTTCAATGTGCCCCTTAGAAGAGAAGTAGAGGTGAAAGACTAGCCAGAGAGTGTAAAAGATGTATTAAAGGTGGGTAGGGGGTGCCGTTGATTTCATTTTCCTGAATGGGAGCTCAGCTTTCAACATTTGGGAAATCGTGGAGGAGAAAGGTATTAAAGATTTTGTGTAGCATTCTCTCAGAACTGTGCGTAATGAATGAATAAGATTCAATTGAACCTTGTAGTAATTGTATGTGTTTTGGTACAGGTTCAGTATTAAGGTTGTTTTAGTGTGTGTCACTGAGAATGTTTCTGTTTAATGGCATGACTGCATTAAATGAGTGTTAAGAGTGGTGCCAGAACGGTCATATTGGAATTTTATTGTTTTTAATATTTTTAGACAAGCATTCAATTGTATGCATTTTCTTGAGTTGTACTTTGCAATCATAATTGTAAGTTATTATAGGAACATACGTAAGGCTTCTCTGAGTTCAATGAGAGCTGTGGGAAATCAGCACCTCTGAAAATCAGGCCTATATTTATGAACACTATTTTACATGGCAATATGCTTGGTATATCCTTATTTGACAACAAAATTCTGATCTTTAACATTTAAGTTGTTTAAACAGGTATTCTCTTTTTCTATTATAAAAGAAAATTGCTGTATTAAATTTTCTACATCAAACCAAATATTTCAAAGACAGTGCACCCTTCTATATTAATATCCATTAGAGCAATACAATGCAGTTAAATATTTAACAAGTCTCTTCAGTATGTAGGAAAAAATAACTGCACATAAACACCTTTGAAATTAAATGTTTGTGTGGTTCCTCTTTTCCTCTGATGTTGACATCCAGGAATCCAGAAAGCTGTGCTAAGAATTCACCATGCTTCCAGCTGATCTTAGAAGCTTGATTCTTGCTTTCTTCACATTCATTCAAATATTTGCTAATCAGCCAAAACAAACACACATCAGGAGGAATATTTAGAAACAGTATTTTTTCAAGCAAAAGGCAAAATTATCCCAAGCTCATTGCTTGGGCATACCTATTCTAGCACAACCTTCACCCAAGTTAAATGTGGTTTAATGCATATACTATGGGCCACCAGGGGCAGGGAGTGTTGTTAGATGGAGTACATTCTGCCCCTAAGAAAGCAAGCGCCTCACAGCCTTATCAAATGATGCCCCTCTGATGACTGGCTCTGAAGATCTCTCTCTTCAGTCCACGCAAGCAAGATGAAACTATGATGTGGTTTGTTTGGTAGTTGTCCTATTGAGGAGTAAAGCACAGGCTGGAAAGGAAGGAAACTCCAGAAGCATTCCCCAATATACACCCTTGGAAAAATACCATATATTAAAATCATGTTTGGTATTTTAATAAATAGCATACATTTTGAAATTGAAATTAATAAAACAATTACTATATTTTTAAACACACTGGATGAACTACTGTTTCCACATCACCAATTATGCATATTTAAGAGGACACTTAACTCTTTGGTTGATTTTTTTTTTTTTTTTTTTTTAAATTTTTGATGGACAACCTTTACTCAAAGCCCCAAGAGAACAGAAAATTCACATAAAGCCAGAGACTTTCGCCTTGAATTCTGCACAGAAGGGGAAGTTACTTTTCAGGTACAGAAACTGGACTTCTTCAAGACGTGTGGTCCATAAACACATTCCACTGATGGTGCACATATAACTCATGAACCTGAGAGTGGAGTCTTTTGGGTCAGCAGTACTCGTACAACACGCATGTACCTTGCAGCCTTCATGCTCCTGAGACCTCATGCACCAGCTACCATTTGGTTCCTTCTCACTGCAGAACCCCCAAATAGGGACTTCACGGTAGAGGGGATGGAACGGTGGGAATGTGCATATGGACAACGCATCTCAAAGAACTTCCCATTCTCCTTCAGGTGATTGTCCATATCCATATACCACTGCCGGTAACTCCCAAGCAGTGACTGTGTTAAGGAGGTGGGAACTAAGTGTAATTATTTAAACAGAGTGAAGAACTGCTTTACTCTTTGGGCCTGGAGGCCTCAGTCAGGATGTAGTGTCTTGGGAATATGCACGTTGATGCCCAAGTGGCTGCTTTACAAATGCAGTAGAACTAGGGTGACCAGATATCCTGATTTTATAGGGACAGTCCCAATATTCTGAACTTTGTCTTATATAGGTGCCTATTACCCCCCACCCCGTCCCAATTTTTCACACTTACTATTTGGTCACCCTAAGTAGAACCTCAGAGTTACAAACATCTCGGGAATGGAGGTTGTTCATAACTCTGAAAAACACATTATGGTTGTTCTTTCGAGTTTACAGCTGAACATTGACTTAATACAGCTTTGAAACTTTACTATGCAGAAGAAAAACGCTACCTTTAACCATCTTAATTCAAATGAAAACAAGAACAGAAACAGGTTCCTTACCTTGTCAAGTTTTTTTTTTAAAACCCCCCTCCCCTTTTTTTAAGTAGTTTACATTTAACACAGCACTGTACTGTATTTGCTTTTTTAATTTGTGGCGGCTGCTGCTGCTGCCTGCATACTTCCGGTTCCAAATGAGGGGTGTGGTTGACTAGTCAGTCCATAACTCTGATGCTCATAACACTGAGGTTCTACTGTGTTTGATAACGGTAGACTTCACAGTGAGGCTGCTGCTACGACTTGCACTCTAAGGGAGTGACCCCTGATATCTGGTGGATCTACCATGGCCACTTCGTGGCATGTTTGAATTCCATCAGAAATTCAGTTTTATAGTATCTGGGATGAACTTGCAGAACCTTTTGACATCTCTGTGATGGAGATTAACATGAAGTCTTAGTGATTTTCTAAGTACTTCTGTTCTGTTTAAATAGTAGGCCAGCTCTCTCCTGACATGTAGAACAGGGTTTTTCAACCCATGGGTTGTGACCCAAAACTAGGGTGCCAGAATGTGGCACAGGTTCACAGAGGAAACCTGGAGAGGAGAGTGTCAGGTCCTGCCCCCAGGGGGATGGAAAGCCATGGACGGGGGGGATTGCAAAGCCCACCCTGCATTCACACTGCTGTGGTCCTGCGAGGCTGGCTGAGCTCAACTCCCTGCTCCAGGAGTTGCTACCTGGTGCACAGCGTTGGCCCAGCTGCTCCTCCAGGCCAAATATGAGTGAGTGGTGCTGTGACCTTCTGCACAAAGTCACTACATCACTCTCCCAAATTTGGCCCAGCAAGCCCACAAGCTAAATCCTCAAAGGTCACACTGCCTGGAGTGAGGAGCCAAGCTCGCCCAGTCCCATGGGATAGGAGCCACATGAGTTGCCATTATGGAATGGAGGGTGTAATTATTTAGTATTTACTGCATTAATATGTATATTGTATTTCTTACCCACAATATATTTAGTAAGCCAGTTTTGTTTTTTGCACTAAAACTATTTACTGGTCACAACAAGCCATCAAAGTTTACAAATGGGGACTGAACCCACAAAAGGCTAAGAACCACTGGTCTAGAGTGTGCAACATCACCCCAGATTTAAATGCATGAGGTTTTGGGAAAAATACCAGTAAGTGTATTTTTTGGTTCTAGTGGAAGTCTGTCAATACTCTAGAAAGAAATTTAAGGTATATGCTCCACCTTGTCTGGGTGGAGCACTATATAGGGTGGGTCAGCCATCAGTACCTGAATTTCCTGTACTGATCTGGCAGAAGTTATAGTGATTAAAAATGTAATTTGCATAGAAAGGTGTAGAAGGGAAGAAGAGGCCATAGGTCTGAAGAGTAAATCCCTGAAGGCTGAGAGTATCACTTTTAAGTTCCATGAGGGTCCAGGTTCCTTGATTGGTGGGAATACCTTAATTAGGGCCTTCAGGAACCTAATTACTAACAGTATGGTCCTCCACTGGTGGAAGATGAGCTGAGATGGCCAGTAGGTGATGGCTGACTGAACTGAGGGACAGGTTCTTACATTTTAGTTTGGGTAAATAGTTGAGGATTGGTGGAATCAAGGAATGATGTGGTACCACAGATTTTTGGTGGCACCAGTGAAAAGCACCATCCATTTTGGCAGGTAGGTTTTTCTTGTTGATTCTTTTCTGTTGCTTATTAGAACTTCTCTAACTAGAGTGGAGCAGGCCTGCTCTATTGACAACAGCCACGCTTGCTGTGAGCTGCGAGGATGAAAGATTCAAGTGTTGGGTCTATCACTTGTTCTGAGACAGCAGGTCTGGGAGCAGAAGAAAGGCTCAGTAGGTCTGTGAACTAGAATTGTCAGGACCACACTGGAGCTAAGAGAATTAGCTTGGCCGAGACCTGTTTCAGTTTGCAAAGTACTCTGGCAATAAGAGGGGCCAGGGGAAAGTATATATCAGGTCTCCTGTTCCCAGTAACACAAAGGCATCTGCGATGGATTCCAGTCTCATTCTACCCCTTGAGCAGAATCTCAGGCACTTGTTCTATTGAGTGGCAAACAGGTCCATTTTGGGATTGCCCCAGTCCATGAAGATGTCCACCAGAATCTCCCATTCACCATCTGGGAGGAAGTATCTGATGAGATTGTCCACAAGCATGTTCTGCAGTCCAAGTAAATGTACTTCACCAGCAATAACTGTATGTTTGATGCACCAGTTCCAGAGCGTGATGGCTTCCTGGGAGAGCAGGGAAGGCCTGTCTCTACCTCGTTGATATAAAACATGGTGGTCATGTTGTTGGTCCTGATTTATTTGTACTGCCCTTCTATTAGGTGGAGAAAGGACTCACAGACCTCCTGTATGGTTTTGAGTTTTAGGAGATTGATGTACATTCTCTTGTCCCTTGGGGACCATAAACCCTGTGTCTTTAATGCGTCCATGTGGGCACCCTATTGTAACAAGGATGTGTCTGTGACTATGGTCTTCAATGGCAGGATTATCCAGAAGGAGACCCCTCTGCACGCACTCTTTTTTTTTTCCCCACCATTTCAGTGAAGACAGGACCATGGGTGAGTTATTGAGATGCATCCAGGCAATGTTTGGAGAGTGTGTAAAACAGCTTCTACTAATCCTGCAAGTAGTGGAGGTGAAGCCTGGCATGCAGAGTCACAAAGGTGCAAGAGGCCATCTGATCTAGAAGGACAAGGCACAACCTTCCCTTGGTACATGGATTTCCCTCCAACTGAGAGTTAGAATGGACAGGTTCTCAAATCTGTCTTGAGGCATGTAGGCCCTGGATGTGGAGGAATCTAAGATCAGACCAATGACTTCAATCCTCTGATCTGGGATTACTGTCTATTTCCATTTATTGAGTTTCAGGCCTGATCTCTGAAAGAGGTTGAGTGCATTTTGGATGGCTTCAGAGACCTGTTGAGGAGCGCTCCCCCATATAAGCCAATCATCCAGTTAAGGTTATTTATTGATGTTGCATCTTCTCAAGTAAGCTGCCACTACTGAGAGCACCCCGCTAAATCTCTTCAATGCTGTGGAGAGTTCAAAAGGCAGGATTCAATATTGATAGTGGTCCTGGCCAACCGTAAATCTTAGGTACTTCTTGTAGGCAAAATGATGGAGATGTGGAAGTACGCATCCTGTAGCACAAGAGATCTGAACTAGTCTCCAGACTCTAGATTTGGGATTATCAATGTGAGGGGTACCATCCTGAACTTTCAACTTGTGAATGAATGTGAGGTTCCGCAAGTCCAGAATGGGTTGCCAGCCTCCCTTTTTCTTCAGGATAGGAAAATAGCTGCTCTAAAAACCCTTTCCCCTGTACTGAGGCAGGACCTCTTCCATCACAATGAGAGAAAGGAGCACAAGGACCTCTTGATATAATAGATCCTTGTGAGAAGAATCCTGGGAAAGGGGGGTTGAGTGTAGGCACTGCTGAAAACCAGATGGAGTATCCATGTGTTATTGCGTCTATGGCTCGTTGGTGAAATAGCCAAGGGAACCTCATGGGAAGGAATGCCATCACATCTTCAACGTTAACTATTTCAGAGACTTCTCTAAAAACACATGGCCAAAATGACTGGTTATGTGACATACCATCAAATTTATCCTGTCTTGTTCACCAATTTTTCCCCCCAATAGAACAGTGAGTTAGCCCCATGTACTGCATGTGTGTACAGTATGTTCTCTAGGACTACTGTCTCAGATGAAGACACACCAACCAGGAATTATCTTGAAAGTATAAATTTCTTTAAGTTACAGCAACAGCACATAGCATTAACCTACTTTTTTTTTTTTTTAAGTACATTTGATCACGTGGATTTCTGCAGAAATACTTGCACCTCTGATGTGTCTGAAGCCACAAGACTGGCCCAGCAAAACTAACCTGTGTGTGTATTCTGATCTAACAGTGAATACACTTTTGTTTGGCATGCACACGGTCCTGAAGATTGTTAAATTGATAAAGTCAGCACAGGACATTGCATCTTTTACAATGTAAAGTTGTATATGGCAAAAGCCATCGCCCAATGAACAGTAGGAGGGAAAAAAATCAATGGATTGAAATATCTAACAAAAGGCACATCAGACCTGCATATGCTGGTAGATACTGTATTTAAGCTTTCTTCCTAACCTAACAGCTATCACCAGTAATGGTTCTCTTCCTCTTTCTTGGCATAACTATACCTACAAACATACCACAGTATCTGAGCACCTTGATATTGCATTATCCAGAGTGGCACATGCAATACAGAAAAATACAAAAGGTTATATTAATGTGACATTACTAGTTACAAATATGAAAGCCCAAATATGTGGAAAGGAAAAATTTAAAAATGTTCATAGTAAGTTGAGCCACGTTGTACAAATTGCATATTTTCTAGTATATTCTTAACATAAAAAGTAATATATTCATGTATGTATTTAAAAACGAATACACAAATTGAAATTACAATGCATGTATAGCATAACTGAATTTTCCATATTATGAAAACCTTACTTTTCTGGTTTCATGACTATTGAGCATTTAAATATGTAATCTCAATCTTAAGCACAAATGTTTGTATTTTCACTTCCCTGCTTTTTCTTTCAGGGAAAATCAAAGCTATTAAGCTGGAAGAGCTCACAAACTCCACTGGGCAAGCTAACGGATCTTCTTAACCCTTAGAAATTCAGACTGGGAAGATTACAGACTCAATAACCACTGGCGAAATTTACAGAAAAGTCCTACAGATTTGCAGCTGCAAGTGACTAAATGCTTCACTCGAGTAAACAATCCCTCCTGCAGAGTTTATTTATAACCTCTGTAAAAACATATTGTTTTTCTGACAGGTGCTCCTGGCTGGCATCAGACAAGTCTTTGGTTCCAACAATCACAGACCCAGTTACAGTCAATAGGTGCATCAAGCATTCTTTCAGACTCAATGGAATAAATAATTTAGCCTCTTTATTTAAAACAAACAGCTATAAAAAATGGAGGATGGCCCAGACTACAGGGCAGGTCAGGGATTTCCCTGATTGAAAACACAGGAGCGAAGAGATTGGTTTTTCAGCCTGTGTGTGGTAGAAGCAGAGAGAGCCTGTAGAAAGCATGGTGAATGTGACCCTAAGAGGAAGCAGAAAAAGACATTGTCAGGCACAGAGCTCGCTGGAGTGGTACACTTGGGGGTATATGAGCTAAGAAATTGTGCCTGCTATTTGTTTCTACTATGTTCAGGGAAACTGGGCTTTGTGTACATTATTTGTAAGTAAACAAGATTACACCAAAAAATATACCTGACTCATATCAAGTTCTCTTCCTAAAGGGCACAACTCTGCAAGGCCCTGAATATTGGCTAACTGCCCAGGCCAAAGGGGCAATACTATACAGCTCAATACAAAGCTGTAAATCTGTTTCTGAACTGAAATTTTCCTACAAAGGTAGTTTTTTATGTTGGCAACTATAGTATAGTGACATCTCAACCCAAAATTATGCCACAGCTTGATTGAATCTCTTACTTCAGTTTGGCTTCTTGGTCATGGATCTTCTCCTTCAGCTCCCAATTCTCCTGGAGCAAAACCTGTGCTGTTAGGTCTGTCTGTTTTTTGGAAGTGACAAGCACACCTGATTCCTCCTCCATCTCCTGAACTCGATTTTGCAAAGAGAGGAGTAGAGAGGATTGTCTAGCATTGTTTTCCTTGTAGCTTTCCACTTCAGCCTTCAGCTCTTGCAATGAGACTTCTTTAGAGACCATTTTGGATCTGAGATCTAGAAGCTATAGAGAGAGGAGAGGAAGAGAGAAAAAACAAATAACTGTAAGAAGAATTCAATATAGACTACGTATTTGAACTGTCAAATTATTATTTAATTTATTATTAAATTGTTTATTTTTTTAAAATCTGGCAGGAAATACCTTTTGGAATCAAAGTATCTTATTCTTCTACTCTATTACCAATGGATTCAGTGAAAAAAAACAAGTGACAATAGCTACCATTTTTTCAGTACTCACAGAAAGCAGTAAGTAAACTCCAGCTTCAGTATGAAGTAAACAAAAATAGCCACATTGCTTTCAGTGCCATTCGAAACAATAGCAAAAATATGCATTAGCCGAATAAAATGGGCAAAGTTAGTAAGAAGAAAAATGTTATTTTTAAATATCTATAAAGGTATTTAAAAAAACAGAGCGGAAACAAAAACAACCACTGTTTTTTAAATTAATTTAAATGGAGTTTTATATTAGGTTGAAACAACATTAAGGTTGTAAAAATCACACATACAAAAGTTAGGAAATGCCAGAATTAGGGTTTCCTGTGAAACCTTAATGATACAGTCTTTAATTATATGATCACATACTATTTTTTCACAAGACCTCCGCCTCCCTGCTCTCACTTCTGGTGTCTGGTGTCACAGTGGCCTCTCGCTAATGGAAAGAGTAATTGCAAGAAAAGTCTTGCTCAGTCCTGGCCTGGAGCGTACTCAGTAAGCTCTATGGCAGGGGTAATCAACAGGCAGACCGCAGGCCAAATCCGGACTGCCATATGCTTTTGAACAGACCCTAACATCTTTTTATTTACTTATTATCATACCTTTTAAAAAAAATTATTTCCTCCAGAGTCTGGACCTTGACAAAAAATAGACTACCCCTGCTCTGTGGGAATGAAGCTTGCTCACTGTGGCTGGTACAGAGCTCTAAAGAGCTGCAGAATGTTCAGTGAAGATAGAATGGTTGGAGAATTTTGCTAACAAACCTCTACAGAGCATGTGCAAACAGTAATTTTCAGAGGCTTATAATTCAGTCAAGTAGATTAGGTAGATTTCCATAGGAACAGCAAAAGGCACCTCCCCTGGTGGCATCCCTTGCCTAATTTCAAGTCCCTGTTCCAAAATATGAAAGTGCTAGAGCTTCTCAACAAACAGTTCTAACTTATTTTTTTTAAAACACTGGCAAAATAATGTATTTTCCCTAGCCTCATTCTCACAAACAGTTGATCCATTTTTGCTGAAAATTTCCCAGAAACATTCAGCCTGAGGCAGACCTGGCATGTAAAATTTCAGCCTAAATGGTCAAAGTTATAAACAACTAAAAACAGGGATTTACAATAGAAAGTTCTAAGCAACACTTAGGTGTTGCTTCCAGCTCCATTATAATGAAAAATATGCAATATGTGGCAGTTAGCTCTTACCACATGAAAACTAAAACTAAGGTAAACAAGGTATATGAGTGCTCTTTTAATGCAAGAAGGATGCACTTGTGATTAAGGCACTTGACTGGAACTCAGGAGATCAGAGTTTAATTCCTAGCTCTGCCAAAGATATCCTGTGTGACCACAGGCAAGCTACCTAATCTCTCTGTGCTTTAATTCCCCATGTAGAAATGGAACAACACTTCCTTTTTCTCTCTTGTCAATTTAGACTGTATGTCATTCAGTGTCTCTTATTATGACTCTGTACAGCACCAAGCACTAGGGGCCTCTGAATTCAGTTGGGACATGTAGATGTTACAAACAACAACATGAATTTAACAAGAATTTGAGTATTTTCGATGAAAGTGATGGTGGCTTTCTTTACTCCCTTTCTGCCTTTTCCAAAAACAGCAGTGAAAAAAATTCTATAAAGTGGTCTGTCATCACGACAGTAAGTAAGTATTTACTCCCTTCATTTAAGAGTTGGAGTCAAGTAAAGGATCAACAAGAATCTCATCTTCTTTAATTCTTTCTGATGAAATGTAAAGCCAAGCTACTGACCACATACATTAATTAAAGATCAGTAGGCACTTTTTGTTAACTGGCCAAAGTCCAGCTCAGATAATTACATTCTACTGATCTACATTCACCCCTGTTTCACTTGGATATAGAATTTATAATTTATTGTTCTAAACCATTGCTTATCATTGCTGTGAACTGTTTAAAAGTTGTTTGATTTTACAACAAATTTAGCTATATTTCATTCATGGGCATAGTGAATTTTGATTTTGATGCATCATACAGGTGGATCCTAAGCATTTTACACAGAGAGAAGGGGAGAAAGAGAACATGCTCTTGAAACATTTATTAAATGCTTTAGATGCCACCTGGATGAAGAGTGCTATCAGTATAGGATGCTATCATTCAATTCTATCGGCACAGAAAAACCACCTGTACTGCACGACTGGATCAACTAAGTGTTATTCAGTAATGGAAATATAAATGAGCATGTTAACAAGTGGGAAAATATGGGAGTCCTGGAATCAACAAATGTTATAATCACTGAGATAACCACAGTGTTAAAATATTAACTTTGGTTAGAATTGTGAAATACTGTATTTTACGTCCAAACAAACACAATATGAAAATCATCCTGATGCCAACTTCAATTAACGAGCAAGATAATGGTGCAAAGACTGGCAACTGATATAAGCAGGAAAAAAAACTCATGGCAAATCAGAACAAATGTAATCTGAAAACAAAAACAAAATCCCACAATTAATAAAACAAAGATACATTTTACATTCCCCATAAGGAGATTTATTGGATCTACTGTCTCTGCAATGTGTGCACAGCTCATATTAACAGGAAAAGAACATTTAGGGGGTTCTTTTGGGGGGAAGGGAGGAAGGGTGATTCTTTAAGACTTACCTCTGACTGGGCACATTCATACTTTACCAGAAGTGCTGCAAGTTCACTACGGGCAGTTTCAGCCACAGCCCAATGATTTGTCTGTTCTCGAGTGACAGGTATATCCAAAAGAATGTGATCATAAGCTCCCTGGGAAGACATCACAGTCAAGGCAAAATAAGAACCATCAGACACCATGTTTCTGAACAACGTTTCTTCAGATTTGTCCTGTCATTCAGTAGCTCAAAGAAAACACACTAAAAATGCTGTGCACTAACATTGGGTATGCCATACCCACCAAAGGTGTAAACAGACATAATTGTACTCAAATCAGTGGAGTCCCTCTACTCACACTGGTGGTGAATTTGGCCCTCGGTGTGTTAAATTGTTAAAATTCTAGAGTACAGCAGCAAAGTTACTTATGTAGTTATTAAACATTAAAGACAAAGAAAGCTTTACAGACTGTCCTTGGCCAGAGGTTGTGTGTCCCTACTATTTCAGTATTTAAATTCTGTTCCTGCACTGCACACTGATTTACAGTTTTGCAGAAAATAAAATATCAATATGGGGTGGGGGGGGAGTAGTATGAGGGATTAAAAAGCATCAAAACACAATACCTAGTCATGTAACTATTCACCTCCCCCCAGCCTTCTTTTGGCTGCTGTTCCTCTTGGCTTTTAGACTTTTCCCATTCCGCGGCAGACCAGATCTCACATTTTGACAATGTATACACGCGTTCAGCTTTCGGATGCTCTGAATCCTGAGTTTTGTTTTCATTCTCTGAGTCCAAGAGCACCTTGCAGCATGTATCAAAGGAATCGCAATTAGCTTAAGTAAAACAAGTCCATTTAATTTAGAAAAGAGAGAAATCAAAGCCATGCCTTCCAATTTATGTCTAATCCAGGGTCTGGGCAACAGCCCCATTAGATAGGACATATTTTGTAGTTATTGTAGATTGAAACAATATTAAATCTGACATTCTTAGAGCAGAACTGTGTTTAGTACATGCAGAGAATGCAAAGGAGTAGGGAGAGGGCATACAAAAAACCCCTCTCTCTACCTCCACCAACTCCCATGCAAAAATGAAACACAACTGTGGTCCTTGCACTACTACAAAAGAAAGACAGACTCCCATCCAGCAATGCTGTTACAGCTAGACACCCCAGAGGGGGCAGAGATAGGACACAATCCACACTGGCCTGCCGAGCTGGTCTCACTCTGGAAAGGGCACACTCCCTCCTCTTCAAGGGTGTCTCAGGGCTTGTCTACCCACAGAGTCATTCCTGATTAACTCAACATGTGGACACTTTTATTCCAGAATAAGAATGTCCATGCATATTGTTCTTCAAGAATAGTTATTCCAGAATAACTATGTCTGAAGAACTCCACCTGCAGACAAGTCCTCGTGTCTATACCTCTAGGAGCTCCCATTGAGGCAGTGCACCACACCAAACCCATTGCATGCCAAACTGCACCCTTGAATTTTGTGTCCATATGTCTCTCTCCTAACTTGAAAGAGTGATGAGTAAATGAAAAAGGGAGTTCACAATAGAAGCACATAGGCAACCTTATAGCTGGCACTGGCAATTCAGCTATAATAGAGAAAACACATGCAGTGGTGTATTTTCTGAGCCTGAGTTTAGGATTATGCACATCAGTCACAAGTGGTGAAGATATTAAATTTATGCAGGACATCCTAAGCAACTGTTTTGAGATATTTAAATTTTCTTTTGATATGATTTTTGTATCCCTCTGCTTGTAAAGTCAGACTCACTTATCATTTAAATCCAAATGTACAAGCCCAAGAGGGAAAGGAAAATGATAACGAATATATTTTAAAAAATCTCTAAATCTACTATAAAGGTTTTCTATAGGTAATAATATTGCAAATACTAGGTCACTATTTAAACCAAGGCAAGAAACAAGCGCTATGTATCTCACTAGAAAGAGGGAATGCAGAGCTTTTCAATTATATAAAGCTCTTATTTCCTCAATGGGTCACAAGAGATTAGTGAAATCTGTCACTGGTGCAAGACTGAATATTATCCCTCCTACTTCTGAGGAGGGACATTATTTTGGGGGTAACAGTGAATTTCTTATTTAAGGGGGAAAGGTCAAAACATTTCTATAGCAGCTTGTTTTAAGAAAACTTTCGAGTTGATGAGAGTTGAGGAATGTTAGCAGCCCTAGGGGTGACAGAGTAGTGGGTAGAATGCAGGCAAATGTATTTAGGTACACATGAGGCAGCCAAAAGTTAAAGATAAATGTGATTTATTACATGGCTCTGGAATTTGTCATGACTGTCATCACCACATGGATGCACACACGTTCTTCTCCAATGCATATTTTAATTAGTAGTTTAGAAAAACATCAGCCTGCTAAGGATTAGTATCTTGGGAAAAGTCACAAAATAAATTATCTAGATGAAATAATGCCACATTTGTTCGTCAGTCAAATGTCAGTCTTTTAACACACAAAGGGCTTGTTCTTGTCACTCAACTGCCTGGCACAGTTTTGGGGAAACTATAAAAAGCACAAGACTGATAACAACACTGTATCTTTCCAACGACAACGTAAAGAGCTTTCATTGCTTTGATGTTGTAGTGAATACAAAGAATCAAAACACCCTGCTAATGTACTTAGTAACTAGTTTTGTTTGATGATCAAAGCAGGTACACAAGTGAAAACTACATACTCTGGTGTTGAAAGAGTAAATACTGACATTATAGCTTATAATCAGGACTTCTGTGTTGGCTGGTTTTTTTGGTTTATTAATTTCATATTTTGGGGTTTACTTTTTGCAATTTTTGTTTGATGTAATGTCCAAAAATTGGGTGTTTTCAGGGCTTGCTCTCTCTGTATATACTAGAATGAGTAATGTATATTATTTTACATTACTCATTACAGTCGTTCTGTAATGAGTAATCTCTTTGTAATGTTCCCGAATGCCCTTTAACGTACTGGTTCAAAGAGCACTAAGTTAAAGTACAAGAGGGAACCTTTAGTGCATGCCAGCAGGCCTACCCAGCAACACATTAGTGTGCTTTAGAAATTACACCTCCATAGGGCAGTGGTTTTCGCAGAATCCTGTACTTACTACCATACTATGCCTGCTACTTATTATAATCACTTATCTGCTACCATCCTCTCTCCTGTTTTACTCCACGAGTTGTCTAACACCATGTGTTCAGATTTTTAGGACAGGGATAGGATAATTTTTAATAGGATAATTTTAGGATAATTTTTTTTCCATATGCATACAACAGTCAGTATAACAGAGCCCTGGTCCATGCTTTGGGCTTCTAGGCACTACCACAATACCAACAAATGAAATAGTAATATCACCATCTCTTCGGCCTGAATTCATATTACTGTGACTTTCTCTCCTCTCCTCTAAAGAAACATAAAATGAATAAATTTAATCACCATCTCTTATTCTCTGACATCATTACATAGGTGTCTCATCAAGCTGATTAATACAGCACAAAATAAGAGAGTATTGTTCTAGAGGAAGATCCCTGATCCTCAGCAATACAAAAACGCCTTACTGCCTGAGGATCTAAAACCTGCACTGTTCATTTAGGGACAGATTGACAAACGTATTTAGGTGGCTAAGATGCAGACAGACACCCGAGGGATTTACAACAGTCCCTCAGTAGGTTCGGCACCTAACTCAGATTAAAGTTAATGGAAGATAGCTCCTAACTCAAGCACTTTGGAAAATCCCTCTAAGGGCATGGCTACACTTGCAGACGTAGAGCGCTTTGAGTTAAACCAGCCTTCGTAGAGCGCAGTAGGGAAAGCACAGCAGTCTGCCCACACTGACCGCTTCAAGCGCACTGGCGTGGCCACATTTGCGGCACTTGCAGCAGCATTGGGAGCGGTGCATTGTGGGCAGCTATGCCAGCATGCAAGTGGCTGCAACGTGCTTTTCAAATGGGGGTGGATGGGGTGGAGTGTGACAGGGAGTGTGTTGTGTGTATGTGGGGGGAGACAGAGTGTGTTTTTGGGGGAGCTGAGAGCATGTCAGCATGCTGTCTTGCAAGTTCAGACAGCAGTAGACGCCTCCTTCCCCCCCCCCCACCTCTCTCTCTCTCTCACACAGCATTCCACGCTAATGGTTGCTTTGTCTCGGAGCTGATAAGCAGCTGACTGTCAGAAACGGAGCTGTCAAAGGGCATTTCCGCATTCCTACAGCCAATTCTAAACAATGACAAGAGTGGACACCTGACTTAAGGGGATTATGGGACATTTCCAGAGGCTGATCAGAGTGCAGTAAAGCAACACCTTGATCACACTGGCACCATGGCGCTCCAGCGAGGGCGCAGCAAACGTTATCCCACTCGCCGAGGTGAAGTACCAGCAGCGCTGTAGCCGTGGAGACAGAGCGCTCTACGTGCCTTGCCAGTGTGGATGGGTAGTGAGCTAGTGTGCCCGGGGCTCCTTTATTGCACTGTAACTCGCAAGTGTTGCAAAGTCCTAAGTATCTATCTGCATCTTTAGCCACCTAAATACTTTTCTCAGTCTGCTCCTAATGATCATTGTGGCACCAGAGATTAGAAAAGTTGGAACTACTATATTAATGTCCAGGTGGATTTTCTATATATATTCATATGGGTTTTGGGGGGTGAATATGTATATTTGTGTACACATTAAGTAAACACATTAATTTCTACATTTTGCTACTCAGTATGCACAAACCTGGCTGGTGATCCATACCACTGCCAAGCAGTTAGCTAATCATGCGTGACTGAGAGATTTTAAAAGTATATTAAGCAGATCTGGCACTCCCTCAAACAAGAACAGAAAAGCTCACTTGCATAATGCCTTATCTCTACCATTCATTCTGTTCTCCACAGGCTGATGCAAACAAAATGAAATAACATTTTTAAATAATAACTGCAAGCGAGTTTTATAAACAGGTCACTCATCCAAGATTTGCATGGTATATTCAGTTCAGATGAAGTGTCTCCAACGCAGATCAATAAAATTCAAGTCATTAAAGCTCAATGAAAACAATCCAATCCATACAAAACACAAGTAACAGATGCCTCTCCTGTCCCTTCCACATCGGAAACAGCAGCAGCAATTTCAAGTGGACTATGGAAATCCCAAGACCAGCTACAGCCAAAGGGGTAAGGGGTAAAGTCAGCGCCTTCCAACCTCCCCCCGCCCACCAGTTCCAGGGGAACAAGCCCATTATACTGGACCCAGAAACCTCTCCTACAACTCCTTTACATGGGCAGCAGCTGCCAGGAGAAGCCTTCACATATCATCATTCGCTCAACTCTGTAACTTGAACTCTTGATGTATATTTATTTCATTTGCTATAATACCTTTCACTGCTGTCCCCCTTCATCCCAAGTGCAAGCAGGTGGACACCCCCACACAACACATCATGCCCGGAACAGAATCTACAAACTCTTTTTAATCTAAACATACGTCTTTTCCTGGGAGTTTTGGCTTTACTGGCCGATCACACAACAAAAACGTAAACCTCAGCCTACGGTGTTCCTATGGTTTCCCTGTAGAGACCTATCTGACCTAGGCCCCAGTTTCCTGTTGCGAAGAGCCACTCTCACCTTCCTTATATAGAGGGTTGAGTCGGCAAGCTGCACCTGCCACAGTGAGTCAGCAGAACTTCAGTAGTTTTATGCAGGGCTCCACCACCTCCTGAAGAAGGTGGATCACCAGAAGAACCATACCACCTTGTTACACTCCCCTCCCCTTTGATATCACTGCAATACTTTAGCTGCCCACCATCAGTCTCTTCCCATTATGTTTTTGCCATCTTTCTTTCTTTAATTCACACAACCCCTTCCCCACCATTCTTCACTCTCACTTCAACCCCAACTACGGCCCTCCCAAAATCCCTAATATTAGTGAAACAAATATATAAAGAAATATACATCAAAACAATAAAAAAAACCTCCATAAGCCAAGTGTCACCCATCATCCTAATTGACCAGTGGGTACATTGTATCCCTTTCCCCAACACTTTGTCTGTTTCGACCGCATGCTGTTCAGAACAGGGATGGCATCTTCCTCTGTATTTGAAAAGCAAATAGCACACTTCAATTGCTAGTACAACAGAAATAAAAAATGACTCACTAACCTTTCGTGCCTCTGTTCTTCCTTTGTTTCTAATAAAACAAATGTGAGAAAAAGAATTGAAAAAAAATGCTGGATATCAAAATATAGCATATCTGAAAATTCTCATAAATCTGTTCTACTGACCTATTTCCTGTTCTTCCATCAACAAAATAAGGGCATAATAGCAAAAGACAGCAGGTGTAGGGAGAGCTTCCGTAGCAGCCCATCAAAGGCCCCAGCCACCAGAAGCCCTCCAATAGCAGTCAGAGCAGCCTTCAGATCCTTGTCTACCAACTGTCATGATAGTCCTCTTCACATGGCCAATGATCTCTGCTCCAGTTACATGACCACTTTTGTCCAGTCACCTCCTTTCCTCTCTCCCCTCCGATCTTTACTCTTTCGTTCCTCTTCTCAGCCCATCAATTTCACCCTTCTTTTTACCCAATTTCCCACTTAAACCCTCCGGCACAAATAAAATCAAAACAAAAAATAAAATCCATGCAATAAACATGACATGGGTCAACCTTAACCATAAGCTGTAATTTGTATGTTGCATCCCTTTCTGCCACCATTTTTCAGTTTTTACGCTTTTTAGATTGCAAGTTCTTGGGGCAGGGACTGGTTCTGCCTATGTATTTGTACAATGCCTAGTACACTGGGTCTCAAGACTGATTGGAACCACTGGATCTTACCACAATTAAATAAACAAATAAAAAGAAAGGGGAAAAGCTGACTAGAATTGCTAAACCCAAAGGTTCACCTTCTATGTCATACCAGATTCATATTTAACAAAATAAAGAAGAGTTATGCAGACAGTGTTTCTATTTTTAATTACATTCATATTCATGGACACACATGTGAATTAAAAAGGGGCTCATTCTGAAAAGTTAGGGCAATAGGATGGGTGAGATTCTGGGCTGCACCTCTGATGATATGTCTACACTGCAAAAAAAAAGTGTGTTCTTAATTTGGCTATCTACCCTGCATTAGCTAACACTGATTAAAACAGCAGCCAAGATATGGCAATTTGGCTTTTAACTTGAGTTAGCCTGTAGAACAGCTAGGGGTTGAACTTGAGCTCTTAACTCAAGTTAAAAGCTAAATTGCCACGTCTTCACTGATATTTTAACCAGAGCTGGTTAATGTTGATTAGCTAACCTGAGTTAAGTACACATCTTTTTTGCAGTGCAGACAGAGAAAGTGGAGGTTAATGTGGCTTTAAGCCTTCTTGCAGAGTCCTGATTCTAGACTGCTTTGGGAAAAGGGTCTGTCGAAATCATGGCAGCCTGTCCCTGACAGCCTATGGGTGACAGTGCTTCCCGCCCCCCCTCTCCAGATACATATGCACACTAGGTCTTGCAAGGGTACCCCAGAGGACAGCCTATGGCTGTCTTCCCTAATTGCACTAGCTGTCTTCCTCAGTGCCTGTGCCAGAATTCTCCCAGAGCCAAATCCATACCTTTTAGGGCCCTTTCATACAACTTTGGTCATTTTACCTGGAGTAAAGGGCCCAGAAATGTTGGATATTAAAGCAAAATAATAATATTACACCTAGACCAACAGTTCTCAAACTTTAAAATCTAGCATATGAGATCTAAAACTCAAAAGTACTTAGTGTAACACCCTTATAATATTAGTCAGTGTAGTTATAATGGATTCTACTCTGATAAACCAATCCATGTATCACATGACTGCAGCAGTCATCTGTGGTTGCATATACTGCCTTTTGAGAAATCCTGGCCCTGACAATTTCTGCACTGCTGAATGCACCTCTTTTGTTAAGGTGGAGGAAGAAGGAATTCTAAGGTGGCTGAGGCAATATCTTTCATGCTTGTCTCTCTCACCACAACAGTCGGTCAAATAAAAGATTATTACCTCACTCACCTTGTCTTTCTAATATCCTGGGACCCACACAGCTACAACACCTCCTCTTACAGAGTCAATTACATAAACTTATTACAGACTTGACAACCCCAGCCATCCAAAAATCATGAGCCTCAAAAAATTATAAAATATTTTCCCAAAAATCTCATGATTTTAAACCAACAAATTTGGGGTTATTTTGCCTTCTGATTTCTGAGCCTTTCGGGTGTAGGGAGGGGTTCACATTTTGAAACTTTTCTCTGCAACCGTCAAGTCGAGAAACTTAACTTATAAAAATAAAGTTGAGATTTTCATATAACCACTTGACTTCACAAGTTAGGGTTCTATGAAAAAAAAGACAAATATTGTAAGACAAGTGATAAAATTGCAGGAGTTGGCAATATACCATATGCCATGTACATAAATATTTTCTGTTTATTTTGTAATTACTACATTTCAGTTTTATCCTCTTTATTTTCATATTATGGAAAAGGGTGAAAACAATGTCTGATTGCGGCGAACAGCAGAGAGGCTAACAGAGGGAGTTTGCCTGGGATCTGTTGAGAGGAGGTACGCTAAGGGCTGCATTAGGGAGGCCGTGTTGGTGAGTATCTGAGTGTCTGTTGTGGGGACAGTTTGACTGTGTGCTTGATTGGCTGTTTGTTTGAAAAGTGTGATTTGGGAGTGCTTTGTTCCAGGTGAGCCTTGAGTGGGCCTGACTGTTATAAAAAGCCAGTCAGCTGCGAACAAGCTGAGTGGTGAACGGCAGAGAGGCTAACAGAGGGAGTTTTCTGAGAGCCCACTGAGGCTTACATCTTGCCGGCTTCTCTGAGTAGTTACTACAACTCCTGAAGAAGCTTGTAGAAGGAAGGTAATATAGACGGGGAGCGTTCAGCTGTTGTGACCTGCACTGGATGTGCCATGTTTGTCTTTCTTCCACAGGACAGAAGCAACTTTGTCTGTACAAAGTACAAGCTGGTTTCCATATTGGAAGAGAAGGTTCAAGGTCTGGAAAAACAAGTATCGACCCTGCGTTGCATAAGAGAAACTGAAGATTTCCTGGACAGATGTCAGGATATCCTTCTACGGGCACAACGTTCTGAAGATTCAGAGCAGGCTGCGCAGCAGGGACAGGAGGACGATGAAGAAATTTGGCAGCATGTGACCTCCAGAAGAAGAAAGGGGAACATCCATGTACCAGCAGCGCAGATACAGGTAAGCAACCATTTTCATGTTCTCTCCACTGGTACTAATGCGGAGAGCGGACTAGATGATACATCTGAGGGAAGGGAACAGAAGGAGACTCCGCCGATTGGAAGGCATGAGATGCACTGTCCTAGGGATCAGAGTAGCAGCCGTGTTAGTCTGTATTCGCAAAAAGAAAAGGAGTACTTGTGGCACCTTAGAGACTAACCAATTTATTTGAGCATAAGCTTTCGTGAGCTACAGCTCACTTCATCGGATGCATTCAGTGGAAAATACAGTGAGGAGATTTGTGTATATAAACCTCCTCACTGTATTTTCCACTGAATGCATCCGATGAAGTGAGCTGTAGCTCACAAAAGCTTATGCTCAAATAAATTGGTTAGTCTCTAAGGTGCCACAAGTACTCCTTTTCTTTTTGTCCTAGGGATGGGGGTTCCACGACCACCGCTCCGAAGAGAAGGAGGCGGGTGGTGGTGGTGATCGGGGACTCTCTCCTCAGGGGGACTGAGTCATCTATCTGCCGCTCTGACTGGGAAAACCGAGAAGTATGCTGCTTGCCAGGATTCACAATGTGACGGAGAGACTGCCGAGACTCATCAAGCCCTCGGATCGCTGCCCCTTCCTGCTTCTCCACGTGAGTACCAATGATACTGCCAAGAATGACCTTGAGCGGATCACTGCGGACTACGTGGTTCTGGGAAGAAGGATAAAGGAGTTTGAGGCACAAGTGGTGTTTTCATCCATCCTCCCCATAGAAGGAAAAGGCCTGGGTAGAGACTGTCAAATCGTGGAAGTCAACGAATGGCTACGCAGGTGGTGTCAGAGAGAAGGCTTTGGATTCTTTGACCATGGGATGGTGTTCCAAGAAGGAGTGCTAGGCAGAGACGGGCTCCACCTAATGAAGAGAGGGAGGAGCATCTTCGCAAGCAGACTGGCTAACCTAGTGAGAAGGGCTTTAAACTAGGTTCACCGAGGGAAGGAGACCAAAGCCCTGAGGTAAGTGGGGAAGTGGGATACTGGGAGGAAGCACGAGCAGGAGAACGTGAAAGGGGAGGGCTCCTGCCTCATACTAAGAAAGCAGGACAAACAGCAAGTTATCTCAAGTGCCTATACACAAATGCAAGAAGCCTGGGAAACAAACAGGGAGAACTGGAAGTCCTGGCACAGTCAAGGAATTATGATGTGATTGAAATAACAGAGACTTAGTGGGATAACTCACATGACTGGAGTACTGTCATGGATGGATAGAAACTGTTCAGGAAGGACAGGCAGGGCAGAAAAGGTGGGGGAGTTGCACTATATGTAAGGGAGCAGTGTGACTGCTCAGAGCTCCGGTATGAAACTGCAGAAAAACCTGAGTGTCTCTGGATTAAGTTTAGAAGCGTGAGCAACAAGGGTGATGTCGTGGTGGGAGTCTGCTATAGACCACTGGACTAGGGGGATGAGGTGAACAAAGCTTTCTTCCAGCAACTCACGGAAGTTACTAGATCGCAGGCCCTGGTTCTCATGGGAGACTTCAATCACCCTGATACCTGCTGGGAGAGCAATACAGCAGTGCACAGACAATCCAGGAAATTTTTGGAAAGTGCAGGGGACAATTTTCTAGTCCAAGTGCTGGAGGAACCAACTAGGGGCAGAGCTCTTCTTGACCTGCTGCTCACAAACCGGGAAAAATTAGTAGGGGAAGAAAAAGTGGATGGGAACCTGGGAGGCAGTGACCATGAGATGGTTGAGTTCAGGATCCTGACACAGGTAAGAAAGGAGAGCAGCAGAATACGGACCCTGGACTTCAGAAAAGCAGATTTTGACAACCTCAGGGAACTGATGGGCAGGATCCCTTGGGAGAATAACATGGGGGAAAAGGAGTCCAGGAGAGCTGGCTGTATTTTAAAGAATCCTTATTGAGGTTACAGGGACAAATCATCCCGATGTGTAGAAAGAATAGTAAATATGACAGGCAATCAGCTTGGCTTAACAGTGCTGATCTTAAACACAAAAAAGAAGCTTATAAGAAGTTGAAGATTGGACAAATGACCAGGGAAGAGTATAAAAATATTGCTCGGGCATGCAGGAGTGAAATCAGGAAGGTCAAATCACACTTGGAGTTGCAGCTAGCAAGAGATGTTAAGAATAACAAGAAGGGTTTCTTCAGGTATGTTAGCAACAAGAAGAAAGTCAAGGAAAGTGGGGGCCCCTTACTGAATGAGGGAGGCAACCTAGTGACAGAGGATGTGGAAAAAACTAACGTACTCAATGCTTTTTTTGCTACTGTCTTCACGAACAAGGTCAGCTCCCAGCCTGCTGCACTGGGCAGCACGGCATGGGGAGGAGGTGACCAGCCCTCTGTGGAGAAAGAAGTGGTTCAGGACTATTTAGAAAAGCTGGACAAGCACAAGTCCATGGGGCCGGATGCGCTGCATCCGAGACTGCTAAAGGAGTTGGCGGATGTGACTGCAGAGCCATTGGCCATTATCTTTGAAAACTCATGGCGATCAGGGGAGGTCGCGGACGACTGGAAAAAGGCGAATGTAGTGCCCATCTTTAAAAAAGGGAAGAAGGAGGATCCTGGGAACTACAGGCCAATCAGCCTCACCTCGGTCCCTGGAAAAATCATGGAGCAGGTCCTCAAGGAATCAATTCTGAAGCACTTAGAGGAGAGGAAAGTGATCAGGAACAGTCAGCATGGATTCACCAAGGGCAAGTCATGCTTGACTAATCTAATTGCCTTCTATGACGAGACAATTGGCTCTGTGGATGAGGGGAAAGCAGTGGACGTGTTGTTCCTTGACTTTAGCAAAGCTTTTGACACGGTCTCCCACAGTATTCTTGCCAGCAAGTTAAAAAAGTATGGGCTGGATGAATGGACGCTAGGGTGGATAGAAAGCTGGCTAGATTGTCGGGCTCAAAGGGTAGTGATCAATGGCTCCATGCCTAGTTGGCAGCCGGTATCAAGCAGAGTGCCCCAAGGGTCGGTCCTGGGGCCGGTTTTGTTCAATATCTTCATTAATGATCTGGAGGATGGCGTGGATTGCACCCTCAGCAAATTTGCAGATTACCCTAAACTGGGAGGAGAGGTAGATATGCTGGAGGGTAGGGATAGGATAGAGAGGGACCTAGACAAATTAGAGGATTGGGCCAAAAGAAATCTGATGAGGTTCAACAAGGACAAGTTCAGAGTCCTGCATTTAGGACGGAAGAATCCCATGCACCGCTACAGACTAGGGACTAAATGGCGAGGCAGCAGTTCTGCAGAAAAGGACCTAGGGGTTTCAGTGGACAAGAAGCTGGTTATGAATCAATAGCGTGCCCTTGTTGCCAAGAAGGCCAATGGCATTTTGGGATGTATAAGTAGGGGCATAGCGAGCAGATCGAGGGATGTGATCGTTCCCCTCTATTCGACATTGGTGAGGCCTCATCTGGAGTACTGTGTCCAGTTTTGGGCCCCACACTACAAGAAGGATGTGGAAAAATTGGAAAACGTCCAGCGGAGGACAACAAAAATGATTAGGGGACTGGAACACATGACTTATGAGGAAAGGCTGAGGGAACTGGGATTGTTTAGTCTGCGGAAGAGAAGAATGAGGGAGGATTTGATAGCTGCTTTCAACTACCTGAAAGGGGGTTCCAAAGAGGATGAATCTAGACTGTTCTCAGTGGTACCAGATGACAGAATGAGGAGTAATGATTTCAAGTTGCAGTGGGGGAGGTTTAGGTTGGATATTAGGAAAAACATTTTCACTAGGAGAGTGGTGAAACACTGGAATGCATTACCTAGGGAGGTGGTGGAATCTCCTTCATTAGAAGTTTTTAAGGTCAGGCTTGACAAAGCCCTGGCTGGGATGATTTAGTTGGGGATTGGTCCTGCTTCGAGCAGGGGGTTGGACTAGATGACTTCCTGAAGTACCTTCCAACCCTGATGTTCTATGATCACTTTTCACTATATCCTTCATCGTCACAATCAAGTCCACCTACCCAGTTAGTCTTTTCCTTTCCTAACAGACCTAACTTTTAGCTTGTAATTCCTGCCAATCCTCTGATTATTTTTGATGTGCTTCTCTGGACTTTTTCTAACATTATTGTGTCTTTTCTGAAACAAGCATAACCTAAAAACAATAGTCCAGGTGAATAAAATCAATTACTTCTGGCATTTTCAGTGTTTCTCTTCTGACGATAAGTCCTGCCCAGTCTGCTGTTGTCATTATAAGATGTTGTTGGACATCATTCTCCACTGTTTATTTAATAACAAGCCTACTTCAAAGTTGTTTAATATGCTCAAAAGAAAGTCACACAGCAATCAAAATGTTATTTTTACCTTCCAGCACTGCAGATAGCATTTAAATTCACTCTCTCTTCCACTTGTCTCTTCATTATGGTGAGTTGATCCTGAACCTAAATGTGATAAATAACTGTTTACCATGGTTAAGAACAGCAGTTATCTCAAGACAATTATGAAAATACTGGTATTTCAGGTTTTATAACAACTTCTTACATCTTCTTGTAAAGACTTGATTAATTAAGGGATGAAGTAAAAAGAAAAAAATTGGAGAAATGGGTCCCCCTGCTGCTTTGTTTCAACAGTTTTGTGAAATAAATGCTGTGGAAAAGCTGAAAAATTTATTATTTGTAATTACTTTGAGATCAACATGTTTTATATGCTTTAAAAAACAAATATGGAAATAGAGTTCAGATCTTGCTGCCAGCAGACAAAGGGTCAGAGGAATGAAATGCAGCAAAAGCAAGTTACTGTGCAGAAAATCACCTCTTGCTCACATGCAGTTTCACTTGTTTTCTTTGTTTTATCTATTGGTTGGTGGACAACAGTATAAGGCTTTGTAGAATAAATTAGTATTAATGAGAGATTTGTAAATGGAGGAGAGACCGCAAAGGTGATGGACACTCTAACAATGCCAATATTCTATTCTAATATCCTCTTTGTTTCATGCCTTCTATGTCTTGCATTACACTGAACAGATATATACTTATGAACATATAGTTGGCTTATGCACAGTATAAATTTTAAGAGTCCAGTCCCACATCTCTCTCTACTCCACCAGCTCTGATCAGTCACAATTATTACATATACTTTTGCAATACCTGTAAAAGTAATTTTAAGTATGTTCTTCATTTAGAAGTCACCTAGTTACAGATCATTTTTATATTTATTTTTTTGCTATCAATTCTAAAATATTAAAAATTCATGCTACTGAAAACAGTTTTCTAACAGGTTGATAGCTGTATTTACTCAAATGGCAACAGACTTCAGAATGTTGAAAAACAAAAATTCTAAGCAGAGCAACAAAACAATTTAGTGCAATACAAAAATCACATCCCACTGTTAACAAAAGTCAGTGAATAGCTGAGTATCACCTATTAATGGCTGTTTTTCCTACTGAATAAAGTATTGTTAAAATGATGGACTTTTATATTAACTACACTTTTTGCTATTGCTTTAGCAGGCAATTGGTTTCATTTCCAAGCAATATCCTTGAGCCTCACCTTTAACTTCACATCAAAGCCATCATACCACAGTTTCAAAGGAATGAGTTGAAAGAATGATAAAGAAACGCAATGAAGAAAAGCCTTGGATAACACAAGTAAATTCCTAGCACACTGAAGATACTCCCTTTTGCAACATTTAATAAGAAAAATTTTTGTCCTTGAATTTGTAAAGATAAGTTTTAATGATCGGTCAGACTTTATTTAAATCGTTGAACCAAATATCTCTACTGCTTTGTAGTATATGAAGTAATGCAGCTGTTAAAATTGACAAAATGATGAGGTGAAACTAAAAACTGAAACAAAAAGGGAACTTGTAGTTGCATTTTGAAGTATTAAAATTAATGTCACTAATCCTCCACAGAAACAAGCAATTAAATAAAAAGCTATCTTTTTTTCTCCTCTGAAATGTCTGAAAACTGGCTAACAGATCAATAGGACAGCTTTGAGGCAGTTAGAAATTAGCCATTCTGTCTTGGAAACATCAGGATGAAGGCACTAGACTAGAATTTCTTGAACTTGAAGAAACTATGCCCAAACTTTTCCAAAATTCATGCCCCATCTCAAACACATTAATTGCAATTAAAACTGCACAGACCCTCCTCCCTTCTAATTTTGCTGGTGTTAAAATCAAGGATTAGCTTTTTTCCCAAGTTTGTAAATCCTCTGTCACTGACTTCAAGAGCATCTTCATTGGAGATTTTTTTATTTATTTTTTTTATTCCTGATGTATGTATCAATCTGGAGGCTTCCAGTGGGGAAAAAAATGAAATAATTCTCCAAAAGTATATTTTAAAACTGGAGATAAAAGTGAACTGAGTCTAGAAATGCTGGTTTAGCAGTATCTAGAAGCAGGGATGGATTCGAAAAGAGGCAAAGAAATTCTACACACAAAAATATGAACCTTGGAACTGCCAAGGATCTGTAGAAAGTCTTTGCAGATCCTCTTATGCGATGGAACACAGTCTGAGAACCACTACATCAGGGAGTCACTAGAACAGGTAAGGTTTCTATCAGCTCTTAGGTGAGCTGGATTGCATTGCTAAACAAGGGTGTGTTTTGCCTCATGATAATTAATACGCATTAGCAACCCCACTGTAAATCCCAGAGGAGAGAGGACATTGTAGTTTTACCATGAGATAAACTAGGCAAGGTCAATCATCTGCAAGGAGTATAGTGTTAGTAGTGTGTACAGAAGATCTTCAGTCTATCTCACCTCCTTTCTGTAGGAAATCATCTACATGGATGCATTTGCTGTTACACCTCTTAAACCCACAGATCTTCCAGAGACTAAAAAAAGCCACTCCTTGAAACATGTGGCATAGGTGGGAGCACACATCATAAGAGTCAGGATGGAGAATGGTTTTCAGAAATGGCACAGGCAATAAAGGGGTAACAGGTCTTCAACTGAGAGTGAGTATAGTCATCCTGACTAGAGTAAGGGTTAAAACCTAGGTGTCACAGCTGCATACAGCAAATATAGAAACGTATTTGAAAGGAACATAAAATTACAACGAACTGCAGGTTGACGCCTTTTTTAATTTTGGGAGGGTTGTGGGGTTATTTAAATATTTTAAGTAAATATCATGTGACAAAAGGTGCTGGATTAGTAAAGGATTAGTTAAAATGGGGATGAGGAGGTTGGGATGCTCATTGGGACCCTACAGTGAGGCTGAGGACCTGCATGCAGCAGAGGCCAGAGTCAGCCAGGAGTTCTGCTGCTCAGCTCTGGCCTTTGGTTCTGCTCCCCAGCCCAATTTGTGCCTCCCTCCAAGGAGAAGCAGCTGCTTGCTCTGGTGCACCACCTGTGACACAGACTACATTTACACTATGGAGACTCTACGGGCATAGCTATGGGCACAGTCCTGTCGCGGAGGCACAGCTTTTCCATCACTGTAGGTAGGAACGCACCACCTAACACCTGTTGGAGGGGGGGGGGGAGAGACACTGCAATTGGGAGCAAGCCTGGGGTGCTAGAGTGCACTGATCAGCAGCCGGGCACTTGGCTACCTCCAGGTCCCCAGGCCACTGCAGTCAAAGCCCAGCTCCCTAGCCCCAGCGATGGCTCCCTAAAGCCCTTTCCCACCTCTTGTTCTCTGCACTCCAGGTGCTCTTTAGGAAGGTTTCTTCTGACTCACAGTATGACTCCGCAACTGTGCATAAACTCCTCGTTCTGGCACAGGGAGGGGGACACCCTGGAACTAGGCGGCCAAGCTCCCGGGAGGGGTGCCTGCCAACGCGGCTCTGCAGCGAGCTAGGGCCCGGGAACTAGACTGGAGACCGGCTGCTCAGTCCATCCCCACCCCCCCACACATGCAGCCTGCCTAGGAAGCGTCCCCCTGGCCAGCCTTAGGACCCCACGGAGCAGTGAGATCTCGGAGACAGGGGACGCTGAGCGCAGAGAAGAGCAAGGTGCTGGCCCCAGGCAGCGCAGCTTGACAGGAACAGGAGGCGGCGGGACGCTGCGTCCAAGCCCGGCTCTGCCCCGCAGCCAGTGCAAAGCGGGCAGGGACGCGGCTCCGTACCTCCGCGGCGGGGGGGGCGGGCAGCAGCGCCGCGTTGCTGGTCACGTCAATGAGCCGGGAGCAGGCGGCCCCTGCGCGCGACCTGCTGTCGCTGCTGCTGCTGCTGCTGCTGCTCATGGTCCCCGGGGATCTGCTCCGGCCCGTTCCATTCGAACCCGCCCCGCCGCTCTGTCCTCGCGCCCCCAGCCAGCAGCGCCGAACCTTACCCAGGCCGCGGTCGCCATGGCGACGCGTACACTGAGGAGGCCGAGCTTCCGCCGCTGTCGCGAGAAGTGTCCAAATCGCGCTGCCCTGTCGGCGTGGCCGAGGCGGGGCTCCCCGCGGGCCGCGCGGCCTCAGGCGCGTGCTGGCCGCGCTCTGGGTCCCGCGGCGGGCAGCGGAGCAGCTGCAGCTTCCGCGCCAGGCGCCCCCCAGCTGCTCTGCGCACCGCAGCCGCCCGAGGGGGCGCTGGTCGCTGGGTGCTCCTGCCCCACCTGGCGCTGCCGCTGCCGTAGTGCAGAGCCGGCCTCAGCCGCGCCCCCCCCCCGCCAGTGGCCGGGCTAGGCGGCGGGACGACTGGCCGGAGATGTGAAGCGGGGCAGGCTGGAGCAGGGGTTCTCGCAACAAATGTTTTGGTGGCCACCGTGACAAATTTCCCTAAAAGACTTAATTAACTTTAGGAAAAACAAATTAATGTGCACGTATACCTGTCAGATCATTGTAATGTGTTTCCGTAGGGGTCTTAGAATAGCAGCCGTGTTAGTCTGTATTCCCAAAAAGAACAGGAGGACTTGTGGCACCTTAGAGACTAACCAATTTATTTGAGCATGAGCTTTTGGGAGCTACAGCTCACTTCACACTCAGTAATAAAAGTAATGTACTCTAGTCTTTAGGGGCGTAAGCAGAATAGAAACAGAGGGCGCTTTGTATGTTCTTGTCTTTTTTTCTTATTGTTTCTTTTGCTTTGTTTGGGTTTATTTATTTAAGACTTGCTAACTAGTAAGTCTACTGTGAAAAGCGATATTAACAAACATACAAATATTACTTTTCATGGCAGACTTGCTCCGTCCCGGCAAGACCTGGGAAAAATTAAGCCCTGGATGGGAAAGTGTTACAGAAGCAGTGGGGCATTAGGGGAGGCAGCAGGGGCCAAGGGCAATTGGGGAGGGTGAGCTCAAAGCCACAGCCCACCACCTAACAGCCAGGGAATGGAGCCCAAAGCCCTGTGGGTGTAGCCTGCCGCACAGCACCCCAGGGTTGAAGTCCAATCCCACCATCCCTGGGAAGGTGGGGAACAGACCGCGGCTGGCTGCTCCTCCAGCTTTTCTGTCACCCAACCACTGCTTGGCCCCTTCCCCCCATCACCTCTGTGGCCCCAAGAAAAGCCCCCT